AGTATCATCAGAAAAAATAATATCCCTATAATTATAACAGATGTACGGGCCTATATTTTTAAAAGTTACTCTGGACATTCTGTGGTCCCATCGACGCACCATGTCAGGGCCAGCCTGGGCAGAGAGAGAGAGATACAATGTCCCCGGAGATGTGGCGTCAGTGGCCTAGTGGTTAGGCTCTCGGACTCGCAACCGTAAGTTCATGGGTTCGAATCCCGTCAGGGGCCCGACGTTGTGTCCTTCGGAAAGGCACTTTACACGAATTTTCCTCACTTCACCCAGGTGGGAATGGGTACCCGGCTATAGACAGCGAAAGATCTTGTCAGTTTGTTAGTGTTGGAGCGCTTAATCAGCTGCTTGCACTGTATGCTTCCCGGGAAGCTGATAATGTTTCGGAGTGTTCTATGGTCTGCTGGGGTAATAATATAGTGTAAAGCGCATAGAGCCTGCTTTCGTGCGGGGGTATGCGCTATACAAATGCTATCTATTATCCATTATTCTATTATTGCAGTAAAGCGGGGGTTATAATATGTTCATTGATTTTACAGCTTACCTTCAGCCATGTTGTATCTGTAAACTTTGACGTCCTTGTATGAAGTGCTGGCGTTCAACCGGAAGTCGACAGGCCGGAAGAGCTCCTCCTCAAACACCCGGATGTTGTGACCCGGCACCGAGCACGTGACACAGGTCCGGAGGTCAGCGCAGGCCGGCGCGAAGTCTGTGTGGGACAGCAGGGGCACGCGGGCGCGGGGGTTCCGGAGCAGCTCTTCCCTGACCCGGCTCTGGCCTTTGTACTCTGGGGACGGCGGGAGATAATACAGTTAGTTGTTTATGTTTCGTTTTGTTTTGGTAAGTGTTTTACGGCGCTCGCAACTGCATAAGGTCATGATATGAGCACGCGGGACACATCAAACATTCAGCTCTACCCTCACCTGGCTTTGGCCTTTGTACTCTGGGCATGCCGGGAGATTGAAATAATGTAGTTTTTAGTTGTTGGTTGGGGTGGGGTG